GTTCGACAGGCTGGAGATGAGCTATCCAACATGGCGTCTCCATGAACACATTACTTTACCTGTGATGTGCAGTTCTGTTGAAAATAGAGAGGACCTTTCCTGCAGTGCTGACAGTGCTGCGCTGTAGCAGCTTTCACCAATGTGCACACGTTCATGCACAGCAGCTGTCTTTGCTGTTGGGAGGGTTTAGTTTAGTCAACAGGAGGTTTTTGTGTCCTTTGCTATTCAGCTTGTGTTGTGAGGAGGTTACACAGCATCCAGTTCTGGGAACAAGTCCCACCTCTTTGATTTGACGGGATTCTGATGCTCCACCTAAATGCCTCCAGTTTATTGGAAACAGTCTTCCTGTGGTGGGGACGGCCTGGAGCCACAGCTCGATGGAGCTCTGTGTATATTCTTGCTGACAGCAGCGGCGAGCTGTCCATTAATCAGTGCAGCAGCGACATGCAGGCATGCTTTGCTGCTGCTGTCAGAAATAACTGACAGGTTACTGTAGTGATTTGATAGATCGATGGAGCCCAGCTGATACTTGTTTGATCGTCCCAACAAATCGTGGATTTCTGCACGAGTCGTTGGCTTCGTGACAAACCCTTGCTGATAACAGGAAGTTGCAAAGTGCCCACTGGTGAATAAACATGGTGTCAAACCCATGTGATGGTTGAGACTTTCTGCTGTCTCCACTTTACTTTAAATCTTCATTTATTGGCCTTTATAAATGTGATGCATGCACACTGGGGAACGCTAATATCGACTGGTCTGCCTCGTCCCAGTAAGGCTGAAGCTGGCTGGTAGGTGGACGTTAGCTCTGACCTTGGTTTGCTGTCTTTGTGGATCGTCAGGCCTCGGTTAGACTTGGGACGTGTTGGGATGTGAAGGAGATTTTCTGTTGCCAACAACATCTCTCATGTCTCTACTGCCGTTTGCACCACTTTGAACTGACTGAATGTGAAGAACTGAAGCATGAAGCAAAGACACACAGGAGACACTGGAACCACTGCAGAGACATGCTGATGACTGAGCTTTGTTTATTCTGACTAGATGATGTCATCAGTCGTCATCAGTTTTGATTGGCCGTTGGGTTAGTTTTGTAATGGTAACCATGGAGACATGAGCCAAGATTGAAAGAGTTGGACATCAGAAAAAAACTCCTCGTTAAAACTGATGCTTTAATTTGAGCAACATGTGACTCTTTTATTTAACCTAGCTTAGCTGCTACTGTCACACTGTGTTTGTCCATTATCCCAGTGCTTTGGGCTTCTGGGCGGTCATTCACAGTGACCTCACAGGGCTCCAGCCTCACTGTGAGTACAGTCCATACAGCAGCTCATCGCACGCTCAGGATTTATCCCTGTGTTTATGCTGCTCTTTGACAGGAGTCTCATTTAAAGACCGCAACGAGTGAAAGAGCAGCTGATAATTCCTGTGACAGAGAAGATGTGAGTCAGGTCAACACTGCCTTCATGACCCCAGGCTGACGTGGTCAGCACTGATACTCACACAGGCTGTGATTTCACTGCACGCTTGAACAGAGAAGGTGACACTGAAACGCTGCCTCAGAGTGACTCGCACTGTGTCACCAGCTCTCCAGCTTCACTCATAAGTGCTGCTTAAAGCCGTCATGCTCAGGCTGTGGGACAGTCACAGAAAGCCTGCTCACAGTGATTTCATATCATTTACCAATATGTCCACGGAGCTGACGATCAGGATCAAGAAGTGAAGTCAGGGAAGAGCCCAGATAATATCACCTGACTTTGGTCCAGTATACACGGAAATGCTTCTTTTTGCAGAACGTAGTGAAGAAAAAGTGCTGGCTGTAATGTTGGTCGTTCAAGCACGACACGCTGCTCATCTATATCTATATAGATCTATAGCTGGATAGAGAAACTAGAGCAGTGCTCCCCAACCTTTGTTGCTCCACGGACGGTTTAACGTCAGACAGACCGGCCTTTAAGGCGGATAAATACAACAAAATAAAACGATACGACCAAGACAACAACTGTGATGTTTTGCAGATATAACAAAAAACGTAAATTCACTGTGTAACTGTAACTGTGTCATTCTGTGTGCTCCACACCAACAATGCTGAGATCAAACAGAAATAGGACACAGCAGGAATAAATAGCAAACAGGAGAAATGTGTGCAATAAAGTTTTATACAAAACAAGACAAATGTACACAAAATAACGGCACAGGCACATATTAGATGGTGCTTGGACGTGCTCCAAGGAAAAGCCTGAATAGTCTGTGTGTGAGTGGGCTGAGTGATGAGGGTCACCATGGCTCAGACTGGTGAGGTTGGTGGTGTGTGGGGGTCGTACTGTTTGTCAGCCCCCACTGGAGCTCTCCTGTTCTCAGCTGTGGACCAAACACCCAGGCAGTGGGAGAAGCCCAGCAGCGCCTGGTCCTGGTGCAGGCGCTGCTGGGCTTGTTCACCAGGGCCCAGCATCATATATCTGGCTGGTGGCTGTAGTTGGAACGAATAAAATGCTTTGAGACTACTTGTGTTGGCTGCTGAATGTGTCAGCCAGTATAGTGTGTGTGTTTGTTGTTCAGTGGGTCTTAGTCCTGCTTTTAAATCTCTGACTCTACATGAAACTGTGAGGCAGAAGAAAAGCATCATACTTTCAGTGCATGATGAAGTAATGCACATAAAAAATACTGTGAAAGCTATTAAAGACATAGAGTCGCTGCTGAAGCGTCCCCGGCCCTTAAGTCCAACTGTCTCAGTGCAGAGATGTTGTCTCAGAGGTTTGGAGCCCACACACATGTTTAAAAAACATGTCTTTATACTTGAATGCAAATATGATCCATCTCTGCTTCAGCTCGTCTTCAGTGTGCATAGATGTGTTCAGCACAGCAGAAGAAGAGTCTGCAGCCATCTGTCAAACCAGTCTGTGCTGGGACTCTTGTCCAACTGTGATGGAAGTATGAAGTAGAGAAGTTTGATCCACTGTGTGAGATCATGTGGAAAGAGTCTGGCTTTGTTTTTCAGTAGGACAATAATCCCAAACTGTCACGGCCTGGGGATGTGGGGAAGTAAGACCCACAATGCAGGACTCTTGCGATGAAAAGGTGTCTTTATTTACAGTAAAGTAAAATAAAAGGTAAACAATAAATCCCTGCGCGCTCCCATCTCCCGTTTCATGTCCTCGCGCCCCTGCTCCGTGTCTCTGTTCCCTGTGTACAACCTCGTTTCTGCAGATCCTCCTCGGAAACACACGAAGGCAGCCGTGAACACAAACTGATGGGAACGGTCCAGCGTCGAGGAGCGCTCAGCCACACCGTTAAGTAGCTCCCCGACGAAGCTGATCAGCTCCAGGTGGAAGTGGATCTCCTTGGCAGGTGTGACACACCCACCAGGCCTGAAGATGGCTGTAAGCTGGTGCTCAGCACACCCACAAACACACAGACGCACTGGGATAACGTTCACTCTTCACTGTGATGTTCAGCGTGTGCTTACCCGACAGTGTTATGAACCAGCTGTGCAGTCTGAGTGCAGTCTGAGTGCATACGCCGGCTCTCTGTCAGCTCATATACAGACTGTTAAAAGGCTTTTATGAAGCATATACTGGCTCTGGGATCTACCTGCATAGAAACCAGTAATGAACTTCAGTTCGTGGGACTCAGTGTGCCAGGAGTTCAAAGTGCAGGTCTGGGCTTTAAGGTGGAAATCCTGAGTCTGCCTCTTGGCTAAGTGCACAGTGTAGATATTACACTATACTTGTGTTCACTGACTTCACTGTAGTCGCTTTGTTTGTGCTTTTTCATGTTTAGTCAGCATTGCATCAGTAAAGCTTCTTGATGATCATATCTGGTGTTGTTGCTGACGTGGCAATCTGCTCTGGAGCCTTTCAGGCTGAGTAGACGAGCGTGCTGGGCCAGCGATCAGTGCAGGACCTGCTCATCCATGGGAACCATGGAGCTCCTGCTGGCATGTTTCTGGTGATCTGTTGATGCCAAAGGAGTTTGAAACTGAAGTCACCGAGTCAGCAGAGTGTTGGCAGCTGTTACGCGCTGTAATATATGTGCTCTGCCACTTTGTGTGGTTACTAAGCTCCACCACTTAAATGGCAATACTAACAGCACTTACAGTGGATGGTAGAATAATGAAATGTTGCAGTCCTGACTTGTGACCATTTGCTCTGCTATGTTTCTACAGGTAGACTGCATGGCTGCAGTGTTGCAGTGGGACTGAAAACACCTGAGTGTGAAGACGTTGTCCCTGTAGTGTGCTGAAGCTTGTTTATAATGACATATGCTGTTTGGATATCTGCACCTGTTGTCCTTACCGTTGGAAATAAACCTGTGCATTAGGGCCCTGCAGTCAGTGACAGTATGTCAGTGTTCACTATGTATCACTATACTTGAATCCATTTCATTTTCATTCATAGCCTCATATAGAGAATGGCATTTACACAGACGCACTGATGCAGGGCTTTCTGTTTCTATCAGTTCAGCTCCATCATTAGTCTTTACAAACGTTACAGACACACAGAACCAAAGTCCAGGTATGTGTGGTCCACATGAGTCCAGCCTGCAGGAGAAACTGTCCCTGTAGCCAACCTAGCATGTTTGTGTAGCAGCTCACTTTGTGTCAGATGTGATGTGTGTAAAAGCTTTCAGTTGTTTTGTCCTGTGATCACCGCGTTCAGTCAAGTCTCCCGTCAGCCATCGCTGACAGTTCAGCAACCCGACCACGTTCAAAAGGGCTTCTTAATCACATGTCACGTAAACTGAGCAGTTACAGTGTTTCCTCATTTAGAGTCTAGTTAGCCTTAGTCCTCTGCAGGCTGAGATTCATCCTGTCACATGTTTTTGGGTTCTCTGCAGGAATGCATGGTTCCATCTCCCAGACTCCTGCAGTCCCAAATCATCACACCCTGCTTCTCCGTCAGGACTCTGCATGTGACATGTCTAACCCTAACCCTGACACTCTCGGACAGGTTCAACTCAAATATACTGGAACTTTTCTAAGACAAACAAATTTGGACTCCAGTTTGCTCCAGTTATTCATCAGACGTCTTTAGGAACGTTTCAGTCTGCATTTCTGTCCTAAAGAGCAAACAAGGTTTTTATTTCCTGGACACTGTCCTTCACTCTGAGGGACGTTCATTTTCACTGACAGCCCCTGGACGGTGTGGATTCATGTTAGAATATCACCACGACTCTGATTTCTGATGCAGATGCTTTTATTTGCTCAGATTTTCCACCATCTCACAGTCTGACGTCTTAATTTTTCTCTTAATTATTTTTCATGTGACTAATTAATGCAGACACAGCCCTAAAGGCTAACGCAGGAGTTGCCAGTGTAGTTTCATTTTGTGGCTTTCAGTTTCTACTTTCCTCTTCAGCATGTGAGAAAAGCTCGTGTTAAGCATTTGTTCTTAAATGTTCATGAAAAAAAATATTCAAGCTGTAGTTGTCATGCCGATCAGCTTCCCAGTGAACCTGTTTAACCTGTGAGGGGCTTCATGGTCTGTTTTCTAAAGAGTTCATTTGTTCTACTCAAACGAGGAAGTGCTTGGAGACGATGTGGTCAGTGTGTCAGTAGAAACTAAAAAGAAGAAGAGCCTGTTTCTGACCGCTCAGTCTTGGTGAAGACTTCATACAGAAGGTACAGTTGCATTTTTTCAGTATCACTGTTGCTTTTTTGTATATTGAATGATACATTGACTTTACACTGTGCTAATATTAGCTCTGCTTGTATGTTGCAGCCATGGCTGCGGCGTCGGCTCTGGTGTCTGAGGACAGTCTTCTTTGTCCCGTCTGTCTGAGTGTGTTCACTAAACCTGTGTCGATTCCCTGTGGACACAACTTCTGTATGAACTGTATCACAGACTACTGGAGCACCCTGTCTGTACTCCAATGTCCACTGTGCAAAGAGACGTTTTACACCAGGCCGTTGCTTCGGGTTAACCCTGTCATTGCTGAAATGGCAGAAAAGGTTAAAAAATCTCTTCAAGAAATGTTGAGTTCAGCTGAACGAGCAGGACATGAAGACGTGCTCTGCAGCATCTGTGCAGGGTCCAAGGTCAGAGCCCTGAAGTCCTGTTTAATGTGTTTACTGTCCTACTGTCAAACACATCTGGAGCCTCATCAGAGGATTTCAGCTTTGAAGAAACACAAGCTGATCGATCCAGTTCAGAACCTGGAGAGCAGAATATGTCGGGATCACGGTGAGCCTTTGGAGCTGATCTGCAGACTGGATCAAAGGTTTCTGTGTCAGTCCTGTAAATGCAGTGACCATAAAACACATGAAACAGTGAGTCTGGAGGACGAGGCTGAGATGAGGAAATCCCAGCTGAGATTAGACAATAACAGCATGGATCAGATGATCCAGGAGCATGAGCAGAAAATCCAGGAGCTTCAACAGTCAGTGAAGACCAGCAGAAGTAAAGCTGAGGAGGCGTTATCGTACAGCAGGAAGGTGATGACCGCTTTGGTGCAGCACATAAAGACAGAGTTCACCAGACTGTCTGAGGCGATCGAGACGGAGCAGGAAATAAATGAGACGGAGGCAGAAAGCTTTATTGATGAGCTGCAGGCAGAGATTACACACATGAAGAAGAAGAAGCTGCAGTTTCATGAAGCTTCACTCATCAGAGACCCCTTCAGCTTCCTGGAGAACGTCCTCCCTCTTACCTACAATAAGCCCCAGCTGCAGGACTGGTCTGCTGTGACTGTAACCGGTGACCAGTTTATGATTCAGGAGACCCTGGCCGAGCTGGAGACAAAAGTCAGAGAAGAAGTCAGCACGCTCTATGATGTAAACTTCAGAGATGGGAAAGAACAAAGGTATGATCTGAATGTTTTCATGGCTTGGTCCAGATTTGGGTTCTCCTTGAAACACGGTGAGGTCACTCAATCAAAATCAGTCAGTGTCTCCATCTCGACACCCCTTTTTGTACATGAACTTTTGTTTGTTCAGTAAAAATCAAGAATAGTTTAGTCTGGGTGGATTTCTAGGTGCAGCCAAGTGGCAGAGGGCTTTCGGTCCATCGTGGTGAAGAGCT